GATAGATAGATAGAAGATAAACATGTACTGACTGAGGATACATTACGTCTACTGGGCAGAGAGAGAGAGAGAGAGGAGAGAGACAAATGAATGTCTGTTATAGATAGATAGATAGATAGATAGATAGATAGATAGATAAACATGGACTGACTGAGGATACACATGTTCGAGGCAGAGAGAGAGAGGAGGGAGAGAGACAAATGAATGTCTGTTATAGATAGATAGATAGATAGATAGATAGATAGATAGATAGAGACTGACTGAGGATACATTACGAGGCAGAGAGAGAGGAGAGAGAGACAAATGAATGTCTGTTATAGATAGATAGATAGATAGATAGATAGATAGATAGATAGATAGATAAACATGGACTGACTGAGGATACATTACGTTCACTAGGCAGAGAGAGAGAGAGAGAGAGAGAAATGAATGTCTGTTATAGATAGATAGATAGAGATAGATAGATAGACAAACAGAGATAGATAGATAGATAGATAGATAAACATGGACTGACTGAGATAGGATACATAGACGAAGCACTCGATAGAGAGAGAGAGAGAGAGAGAGAGAGAGAGAGAAACAAATGTCTGACAATGAAGATAGATAGAGAGAGAGAGAGAGATAGATAGATAGATAGATAGATAGATAGATAAACATGGACTGACTGAGGATACATTACGTTACTAGGCAGAGAGAGAGAGAGAGGAGAGAGACAAACAAATGTCTGTTATAGATAGATAGATAGATAGATAGATAGATAGATAGATAGATAGATAGATAAACATGGACTGACTGAGGATACATTACGTTCACGAGGCAGAGAGAGAGAGAGAGAGAGGAGAGAGACAAATGAATGTCTATAGATAGATAGATAGATAGATAGATAGATAGATAGATAAACATGGACTGACTGAGGATACATTACGTTCAAGGCAGAGAGAGAGAGAGGGAGAGAGACAAATGAATGTCTGTTATAGATAGATAGATAGATAGATAGATAGATAGATAGATAGATAGATAAACATGGACTGACTGAGGATACACATGTCTAGGGAGAGAGAGAGAGAGAGAGAGAGAGAGACAAATGAATGTCTGTTATAGATAGATAGATAGATAGATAGATAGATAGATAGATAGATAAAGATGGACATGACTGAGGATACATTACGTTCACTAGGCAGAGAGAGAGAGAGAGAGGAGAGAGACAAATGAATGTCTGTTAGATAGATAGATATAGATAGATAGATAGATAGATAGATAGATAGACAGACAGATGAAACATGAACAGAGAGAGAGAGAGAGGAGAGAGACAAATGAATGTCTGTTATAGATAGATAGAGACAGATAGAGATAGATAGATAGATAAACATGGACTGACTGAGGATACAAACAAAATGAGAGAGAGAGAGGAGAGAGACAAATGAATGTCTGTTATAGATAGATAGATAGATAGATAGATAGATAGATAGATAAGATAGAGATAAACATGACTGACTGAGGATACATTACGTCACGATAGGGCAGAGAGAGAGGGAGAGGGAGAGAGACAAATGAATGTCTGTTATAGATAGATAGATAGATAGATAGATAGATAGATAGATAGATAGATAGATAGATAAACATGGACTGACTGAGGATACATTACGTTCAGAGAGGGAGAGAGAGAGAGAGAGGAGAGAGACAAATGAATGTCTGTTATAGATAGATAGATAGATAGATAGATAGATAGATAGATAGATAAACATGTACTGACTGAGGATACACATGTTCACTAGGCAGAGAGAGAGAGAGAGAGGGAGAGAGACAAATGAATGTCTGATAGATAGATAGATAGATAGATAGATAGATAGATAGATAGATAGAAAGGGATAGGCAGAGAGAGAGAGAGAGAGAGACAAATGAATGAGATAGAGAGATAGATAGACGACTGAGGCAGAGAGAGAGAGAGAGGAGAGAGACAAATGAATGTCTGTTATAGATAGATAGATAGATAGATAGATAGATAGATAGATAGATAGATAGATAAACATGTACTGACTGAGGATACATTACGTCACTAGGAGAGAGAGAGAGAGAGGAGAGAGACAAATGAATGTCTGGATAGATAGATAGATAGATAGATAGATAGATAGATAGATAGATAGATAAACATGTACAGACTGAGATATATCACGTTCACGAGGCAGAGAGAGAGAGAGAGAGAGAGAGAAATGTATGTCTGTTATAGATAGATAGATAGATAGATAGATAGATAGATAGATAGATAGATAGATAGATAGATAAACATGTACAGACTGAGGATACATTAGATGTTAGAGAGGCAGAGAGAGAGAGAGAGGAGAGAGACAAATGAATGTCTGTTTAGAGAGATAGATAGATAGATAGATAGATAGATAGATAGATAGATAGATAGATAAACATGGACTGACTGAGGATACACATGTCTACTGGAGAGAGGCAGAGAGAGAGAGAGAGAGAGAGAGAAATGTATGTCTGTTATAGATAGATAGATAGATAGATAGATAGATAGATAGATAGATAGATAGATAAACAGAGAGAGAGACTGAGGATACAAAAATGTTCACGAGGCAGAGAGAGAGAGAGAGAGAGAGAGACAAATGAATGTCTGTTATAGATAGATAGATAGATAGATAGATAGATAGATAGATAGATAGATAGATAGATAGATAAACATGGACTGACTGAGGATACATTATGTTCAGATAGGCAGAGAGAGAGAGAGAGAGAGAGACAAATGAATGTCTGTAATAGATAGATAGATAGATAGATAGATAGATAGATAGATAGATAGATAAACATGTACTGACTGAGGATACACACGTTCACGAGGCAGAGAGAGAGAGAGAGGAGAGAGACAAATGAATGTCTGTTATAGATAGATAGATAGATAGAGATAGATAGATAGATAGATAGAAGATAGATAAACATGACTGACTGGGATACACATGTTCACGAGGCAGAGAGAGAGAGAGAGGAGAGAGAGAAATGAATGTCTGTTTAGATAGATAGATAGATAGATAGATAGATAGATAGATAGATAGATAAACATGGACTGACTGAGGATACATTACGTCTACACGAGGCAGAGAGAGAGAGAGAGAGGAGAGAGACAAATGAATGTCTGTTATAGATAGATAGATAGATAGATAGATAGATAGATAGATAGATAGATAAACATGGACTGACTGAGGATACATCACGTTCACTAGGAGGAGAGAGAGAGAGAGAGGAGAGAGACAAATGAATGTCTGTTATAGATAGATAGATAGATAGATAGATAGATAGATAGATAGATAGATAAACATGGACTGACTGAGGATACATTACGTTCAGAGAGGCAGAGAGAGAGAGAGAGAGAGAGAAACAAATGAGATAGATAGATAGATAGATAGATAGATAGATAGATAGATAAAGATGGACTGACTGAGGATACATTACGTTCACGAGGCAGAGAGAGAGAGAGAGAGAACAAATGAATGTCTGTTATAGATAGATAGATAGATAGATAGAGATAGATAGATAAACATAAACATGACTGACTGAGGATACATTACGTTCACTAGGCAGAGAGAGAGAGAGGGAGAGAGACAAATGAATGTCTGTTATAGATAGATAGATAGATAGATAGATAGATAGATAGATAGATAAACATGGACTGACTGAGGATACATTACGTTCACTAGGCAGAGAGAGAGAGAGAGGGAGAGAGACAAATGAATGTCTGTTATAGATAGATAGATAGATAGATAGATAGATAGATAGATAAACATGGACTGACTGAGGATACATTGTTCACTCGCGGCAGAGAGAGAGAGAGAGGGAGAGAGACAAATGAATGTCTGTTAGATAGATAGATAGATAGATAGATAGATAGATAGATAGATAGATGAGATAAACATGGACTGACTGAGGATACAAATTGTCTGTTCAGATAGATAGCAGAGAGAGAGAGAGAGGAGAGAGACAAATGAATGTCTGTAGATAGATAGATAGATAGATAGATAGATAGATAGATAGATAGATAGATAAACATGGACTGACTGAGGATACAACACGTTCAGAGAGGCAGAGAGAGAGAGAGAGGGAGAGAGACAAATGAATGTCTGTTATAGATAGATAGATAGATAGATAGATAGATAGATAGATAGATAGATAAACATGGACTGACTGAGGATACATTACGTTCACTAGGCAGAGAGAGAGAGAGGGAGAGAGACAAATGAATGTCTATAGATAGATAGATAGATAGATAGATAGATAGATAGATAGATAGATAGATAGATAAACATGGACTGACTGAGGATACATTACGTTCACTCGGCAGAGAGAGAGAGAGAGAGAGAGACAAATGAATGTCTGTTAGATAGATAGATAGATAGATAGATAGATAGATAGATAAACATGGACTGACTGAGGATACATTACGTTCTAGGAGGCAGAGAGAGAGAGAGAGGGAGAGAGACAAATGAATGTCTGTTAGATAGATAGATAGATAGATAGATAGATAGATAGATAGATAGATAGATAAACATGGACTGACTGAGGATACATTATTCACTGGCAGAGAGAGAGAGAGAGGGAGAGAGACAAATGAATGTCTGTTTAGATAGATAGATAGATAGATAGATAGATAGATAGATAGATAGATAGATAGGCAAACAGAGAGAGAGAGAGGACAAATGTGTCTGTTATAGATAGATAGATAGAGAGAGAGAGAGAGAGAGGAGAGAGACAAATGAGAGGAGAGGGAGAGAGTCTGTTAGATAGATAGATAGATAGATAGATAAATGGAGACTGAGATAGATAGAGAGATAGATAAGAGAGAGAGAGAGAGAGGGGAGAGACAAATGAATATGTTATAGATAGAGAGATAGATAGATAGATAGATAGATAGATAAACAGAGACTGAATGAGATGACATTACGTGTTATCGGGCAGAGAGAGAGAGAAAGACAAATGAATGTCTGTTATAGATAGAT